GGCCACGGATACACGGGCACAGTGCTCATGAGTGAGGGACGTGGTCCCGGGCCATGATACATGGGCACAGTGCTCATGAGTGAGGGACGTGGTCCCGGGCCACGGATACACAGGCACAGTGCTCATGAGTGAGGGACGTGGTCCCAGGCTGGGCCACGGATACACGGGCACAGTGCCCACGAAGGAGGGACGTGGTCCTGGGCCAGTTCCAAGGTTAGGTCAGAAGCCAGCAGGGTGAGGCCAGGGTGTCAGCTCTCCTGGCTGACCCAGGGCCAGGGAGACATGGCTCACCCACAGCGAAGACATGGACGTCCAGGTCCCTGAGGACACGGGCAGCTGTGCGCACGTCGTCCTGTGACTTGCCGTCCGTCACCACAACCACCACCTTGGCGGCCTCCGGCCGGAGACCTGCCGCCCGCTGCAGGTTCCAACCCAGCACGTGGGTCAGGGCAAGGCCTGGGGAGCAAGACACTGGGCAGCCTGCAGCAGCCCTGCCCTGGTGCCCTCCTCCCACCCCTCCCCCCAGCGCCTCCTCTGAGGGCATCCGCTGCCCAGCCGGGCAGGGGGGAGGACCCAAACAAAGGCAGGGTCTGATCGGACAGCCGGGCCGCGGTAAAGGAGGGTGCAAACAGGGCTGGGAGTCTGCACAGCACACATGCTCAGGGCGAGGACACCAGGATGGAGGCCAGACAGGACGGAGGCCCGACAGGACAGCCACACAGGCCACACAGGCCTACCTGTGAAGGTGTTTCCTCCCTTGTAGCGGAGACTGCGCACAGCGGCCAGCACCTGCTCCCTGGTGCGGAAGGCACTGAGCTCCCACTCTGTCCGGGGGTCCCCACTGTACTGTGTCAGGCCTGGGGAGAGGCACCCGGCAGACAGGGCTGAGTGCAGCATGCAGCAGACAGCTGAGTGCAGCATGCAGCAGACAGGGCTGAGTGCAGCATGCAGCAGACAGCTGAGTGCAGTGTGCAGCGTGCAGCAGACAGCTGAGTGTAGCATGCAGCATGCAGCAGACAGGGCTGAGTGCAGCAGACAGGGCTGAGTGCAACGTGCAGCAGACAGCTGAGTGCAACGTGCAGCAGACAGCTGAGTGCAGCAGACAGGGCTGAGTGCAGCGTGCAGCAGACAGCTGAGTGCAACAGGGCTGAGTGCAGCGTGCAGCAGACAGCTGAGTGCAGCATGCAGCAGACAGGGCTGAGTGCAGCATGCAGCAGACAGGGCAGCATGCAGCAGACAGCTGAGTGCAGCAGACAGGGCTGAGTGCAGCAGACAGGGCTGAGTGCAGCAGACAGGGCTGAGTGCAGCATGCAGCAGACAGCTGAGTGCAGCATGCAGCAGACAGGGCTGAGTGCAGCAAACAGGGCTGAGTTCAGCGTGCAGCAGACAGCTGAGTGCAGCGTGCAGCAGACAGGGCTAAGTGCAGCAGACAGGGCTGAGTGCAGCAGACAGAGCTGAGTGCAGCATGCAGCAGACAGGGCTGAGTGCAGCGTGCAGCAGACAGCTGAGTGCAGCATGCAGCAGACAGCTGAGTGAAGTGTGCAGCAGACAGCTGAGTGCAGCGTGTAGCAGACAGGGCTGAGTGCAGCAGACAGGGCTGAGTGCAGCAGACAACAGACAAGGTGGCGTGCAGTGTGTCCACATGCCCCATCCTGCCCATGGCCAGACCACAACCTGGCCGAGCCCTGACCGTGGCCCGTGTGGACTGCTAGAGTTCTGGGCAGATGGCAGCTCCTCCCAGACACAGCTGCAGGCCCAGAACAGACACAGAAGCCTCCCGAAGCCTCTGGAGTTGGTCCAGGAGACCAGCTCGGCAGCTGCAGCTGGCGCAGGGCTGGCGTGAGCCACTCAGCGCAGGTGGCCGGTGGCCCTCCCGAGGGAGCCCCAGGGACGAGGCCCAGCCCACAGAGGGGCAGCAGGGGGCACAGCTCACCTACTTGGACTTTGTCCGGCCCAATCTCAAAGGGTTCGATGACACTGGTCAGGAAGTCTTTGACCTGCTGGAAGTGGCTGTGGCCGACGCTCCAGGACCCATCCACCAGGAAGACCATGTCCGTGGGAACGGGGGGTGTGCAGCGGAAGTGGGGGCCGGCTAGGAGCAGGAGGGGGTGGGTGAGGCCTGTAGCCTCTATGGACCTCGAGCGTGTGGGCTTGGCTGTAGCCTTTCCTCCAAGGAGGGCACAGCAGGGTCTTTGAGGACCTTGGGTCTGACCAGACTTGGAAGATCTCACAGAATGCTGGTCGTGGCAGTGCATCTAAGACCTCCCCAAAGAGAGCTAATGGCCTCAGCGGCCACCCTGCCCTCCAAGGTCCTGCCAGCTGCTACTGTGCGGTCCCTCAGCTGAGGGGCTCTGACGCCCAGGCTGCCCATCCAGCTGCCCCCGGGACCCCGCCTGGACTGGGGCAGGTCAGCACTTCCCACAACGCCAGGAAGCTCCTCTGGAGATGCAAGGCTGGTGCCTCCAGCCTTCCTGACAGCGCTGGTGGCCGAGCCCCAGAGCCAGGCTGGCCCCCAGCACGGCGACACCTCTGCGGCGGGCTGACTGGTGGTGGTGACCCCCGCCGTGGGCCCGAGTTCTGGGCACAAGGTCTGCACGCAAGGCACTCCTGAGCTGTTGGGAGACGGGCAGGGCCCTCTCCCTGAGGACACTGAAGGTCACAGACAGCCCTGGGCCCACCACAGGGCCACCCCACGCACCCCATGCACCCGGCCTCCCTCTCCTTCCGGTGGAGGCTGGGTCGTGGCTCCGGCTCTCCAGGTCTGGAGCAGGGCCCTGGGACCGGCTCTGCTTCTGGCTCCTGACCCACGCTGCGCACTCCTGCGGGAGGACACAGCCCCCCCGCACCTCAGCACCTGGGCTGGCCAGGCGGCTGCCTCCGGTGCCCAGGCACTCAATGGGCGAGCTTCAGTTAAAGCTAGACCATACAGCCAGGAGGAGAATTCCGGATGCAGGGTGGGCCGCGGGCCACGCATGCTCCCTTCCCCAGGGCTCACTTTCTCTTGGGCCACGCATGCTCCCTTCCCCAGGGCTCACTTCCTCTTGGCTTGGGCGGATGAACAGTGGGTAGGTCTAGTGGTGAAGCGAAAGTGACGCTGGGCTGAGGAGCTGGCTCCGGAGTCGGCTCGAGGTCTGGGCCCCCCAGAGAAGGGCTGGGCTCCAGGGCGGGTCCTGCAGGCCTCCGGCTGCTCCTGCCCGGGGAGTTCCTCTTCAGAGCGTCGACTGCAGAGAGAAGGGCTGTCAGGGTCCTCTGGGGAGGTGCAGAGGGCCTGGGTTGAGGCCATGCACACCAGCCTCGGAGGAGGACACTGCCGCGGGCCCCAGGAACTGTCCCCGGGAAGTGGGCAGGTGACAAGACCCCAAGACATCTTGTGGGCAAGCTGGGACCTGACCCAGGGCCTGGGCCGAATCCAGGGGCATTTCCCCCTCGCCCACCCAGCCTGGACCAGCGGGGGACAGCGGACTTACTCACAAAATCCCTTTGCACAGGCCCAGAGCCCGTGAGCTCGAAGATCTGCAGGGTGTGGCCCTTGGAGGGGCTCAGGCCTCCCACAGTGGCCTTCGGGGTCTTGGTGGTCAGCATGACCTCCTGCCCCGAGTCCCCTGGGTGGGGGGGGGAGAGCTGTGGGTGCTGTCCAGTGAGTGTGAACATGTATGCATGTCTTCATAGAGCACATCACACGTCTGTGATATGTGCTCGTGTAGCCACGTGTTCTCTGCATACATGTGTGAGGTAGATGTGTTTGTGCGTGCATGCATACACATGTGCTGTGTCTGCTCACTTGACTGTGGTCCTGTGAGCACTGGTGTGCATGTGTGTGCACACACGCCTGTGGTGCGTGCATACGCGTGTGCTGTG